TTCCTTGTCTAAGTGCCAACTTCTTTCCCAAAGGTGTTCAGTGACTAATGCTTTGGTTACACGCCAGAATATTTTATAAATGTCTATTTCTAGGCAGCTCTTCTACAAGTCTTAATTAAACTTTAATGTCAAGCAGAGGTTTACTTCTAGAACCTCTTAGGTTCCTTTAGCTGTAACATGATTACAAAACAGTACAGGTAATGTTGGTCAGTCATGTTCCTGCACATTTCTCCTCTCCCACGTAAGACATTGCCACTAGCAGATGCATACTTACATAACACAAAGGTTGATTGTACAGGAAGGAATAAGTCACAGCCATCTCCTGAAATATTGGAAAAACAGCATATTATCATGTATGTAGTCAAGTTTCTCCACCCTGAAATGATAGCCGTGCTTTAGAATTACTGCTTTGTTAGTTATTACAAATTCTCAAACCCAAGGATCAGAACCTAGAGATACTACATATGAAAGTGTTCCTCTTTCCTTTTTTCTCTACGTCTCCAGCACCACTAAGGAGTTAAGAGAACTGGTGATTTCTGAGAGTGAATGACTGCACCCTATCCTGTCTAAAGTAATGCAACCTCTATTGTAATCAAGGAGTCCCTGGGTGGTGCAGACAGTTAAGCATTCAGCTACTAACTGGAAGGTTGGCAGTTCTAATCCACCCAGAGGCACCTTGGAAGAAAGTTCTGCCCATCTACTTCCAAAAGGTCAGAGCCATTGAAAACCCTGTGGAATACAGTTCTACTCTGACACACATGGGGTCGCCATGGATGGAATAGTCTCGACAGCAACTGAAAAAAGAAGTTACCATCAGAAAAATGCAGAATTGATTTAAATTTAACAGAGTATTCTACGAAGGAACAGATAGTAAATATTTTAGACTTTGAAAGCCGGAGAGTCTCTGTCTCAACTACTCCACTCTGCAGTTGTAGTGTGGAAAGCAGCCATAGATAATGCATAAATGAATGATTGTGGCTGTGTTTCAGTAAAACTTTGTTTACAAAAACAGAAAGCAGCTAAATTTGGCCTGCAAGGGTAGTTGGACAACCCTTGCACTATAGTATGCTTGCCTTTTTTTGTATTCTGTGATACATCTTTTTTATTTAAATATAGTTCATTATAGTATGTTATTTAAATATAGTTTATTAGTATAACTTAAACCAGTTTCCAAAATAAGCCAAGAGTCAAAGGCTTTAAGAAATTAATCCTGGGTTAAAAGGTCATGAGCATCTGTGTGTGTGTTGAGTGTATAACAGAAATACGTATATATGTTCACCAAAAGATTTTTTATACAGTGAAACCTGCATTGATTACTTGATGGGACTGCCTTGTTTATCCAGAAGCCTTTGACAGGGTACATACAGTCTTACCACTTTTCTATCACTCTGTATTAGTGGAAAATATTTTAGTTTTTCTTCTCTGACAGGTTCCTGCCTACACAGGTCCGGCTTTCACAGGTTTTACTGTAATAGCTCCAGACTAGAAACTGCCCAAATTCCCATTAGAAGTTGGATAGATTAAAAAAAAAATGTGGTATATTTACAAAATGGAATATATACACTAATGGATTGGAGTAAAGGACTCCAGACAGAAATCAGTTAGGGGTATAATCCAAGTTAACTCAAGTTCAATCGTGAAATGTTCAGACCTTCTTTATTAAAAACAAATCTTCGTTGGAGCAGCTCATTCAAAAAAAGCAGAATAGTAGAAAAGCAAAGAACAACGTGTCTTACCTACCCATAGACAAAATGGTTCCCTTCCCTGGTCTCCCAGAGCCTTTGCTTCATAACTCTTTCTCATGTGTTTATAATATTTGTTTACAATTCTAGCTTTTGCTATGTAATCACTACAGAGATGGCAAGTGTGTTTTAATGAGTTTTGTATCAAGGAGCAATAAACATAGTGCCGCTTTATGGTACAGGAGCTTTCTATTATAGTCAATTATTCACGCGTTTTTAAGAAATGCTTACAAGCAGAAATTTAAAACTTATTCTTAACACATTCTGCCCTATATACCTTTATATCTTTAATCAATTCACAAATAATTATTAAGTGCCTACTATGTGTGAAGCCCAAACTGGACTGAAGACATTAGCAAAAAACAAGGCTCCAGGAACTGACAGAATACTAACTGAGATGTTACGACAAACAGATGCAGCACTGGAGGTGTTCACTTGTCTATGCTAAGAAATTTGGAAGACAGCTACTTAACAAACTGACTGGAAAAGATCCAGATTTGTGCTCATTCCAAAGAAAGGTGATCCAATGAATGCCGAAATTATCGAACGATATCATTAATAAAACACACAAGTAAAATTTTACTGAAGATATTTCAAAAATGGTTGCAGCAGTACATCGACAGGGAATGGTTAGAAATTCAAGCTGGATTCAGAAGAGGATGTGGAACAGGGCTATCATTGCTGATGTCAAATGGATCTTGGCTGAAAGCAGAGAATACCCGAAAGATGTTTACCTGTGTTTTATTTACTCTGCAAAGTCATTTGACTGTGTGGATCATAACCAAATTATGAATAACATTTCAAAGAATGGGAATTCCAGAATACTTAACTGTGCTCATGAGGAACCTGTACTTAGACCAAGAGGCAGTCATTTGAACAGAACAAGGGGATACTTTGTGGTTTAAAATCAGGTTAGGTGTGTGTCAGGATTGTATGCTTTCACCATACTTATTCAATCTGTATGCTGAGCAAATAATTCGAGAAGCTGGACTATATGAAGAAGAATGTGGCATCAGGGTTGATAGAAGACTCATTACCAACCCATGATATGCAAATGACACAACCTTGCTTGCTGAAAAGGGAGAGGACTTGAAGCACTTACTGATGAAGATCAAAGACTACAGGCTTCAGTAGGGATTACACTTCAACATAAAACAAAAATCCTCATAACTGGACAAGAAGCAACATTATGATAGAGAAAATATTGAAGTTGTCAAGGATTTCACTTTACTTGGATCCACAATCAACAACCACGGAAGAAGTAGTCAAGAAATCATATGACATATTGCATTGGGAAAATCTGCTGCCAAAGACTTCTTCGTTGTGTTAAAAGGCAAAGATGTCATTTTGAGGACTAAGGTGTGCCTGACCCAAGCCATGGTATTTTCAGTGGCCCCATATGCATGCGAAAGCTGGACAGTAAATAAGGAAGGCTAAAGAAGAATTGATGCCTTTGAATTATGGTATTGGCAAAGAATATTGAATATACCATGAACTGCCAGAAGAATGAACAAGTCTGTCTTGGAAGGAGTACAACCAGAGTGCTCTTGGCAGCGAGGATGGTGAGACTTCATCTTGCATACTTTGGACATGTTATCTGGAGGGACCAGTCCCTGGAGAAGGACATCATGCTCAGTAAAATAGAAGACTGGCGAAAAAGAGGAAGACCCTCAGCAAGATGGATTGATACAATGGCTGCCAACAGCGGGCTCAAACATAGCAACAATTGTGAAGATGGCACAGAACCAGGAAGTGTTTTGTTCTATTGTACATAGGGTCACTATGAGTCAGAACTGACTCCAGGACACCTAACAAAAACAACAACAGCATGTTTAACATTTTCATGAACAATTAATTCTAACATGAATTTTCTACACAGACATTGATTAGAATGACACAAATATTATAGGAGAATCTTTCTAAACTATGAAGTGTTAGATGAATGTTTGCCTTTATTATTGTTATTTTGATTATCTTCACCTATATATTGTCCTTTGGGTCACGTCTTTCTTTGGTTTGAACTGACTTTTTCTAAATTTTAAATTATTGAATATCTAAGAACTCTGTCCTTGGGGAAAGTTTATCAAATCATAACATGACGTAACTGAAAAATGTTCTTTAGCATTCAGCTATTCTAACCCGCTCGTTGGTAAAAAGCATAGGCTAAGTAGGCATAGAAGGAGCCCCGGTGGCACAATGGTTAAGGGCTCGGCTGCTAACTGAAAGGTTGGCTGTTCAAACCTATCCAGCCGCTCCGTGGAAGAAAAGACCTGGCGGATCTGCTCCAATAAAGATTACAGCCTAGAAAACTGTATGGAGCAGTTCTGCTATGTCACATTGGGTCAGAATAGACATGATAGCACACAACGACAATGTAAGTGAAGAGATCTGCATTTGCCTTATACCTTCAGCTCATTCTACCTTGAATTTTGCATAAGTTTCTCAAACTTCTGGTTCCTCGTACTTAATATGTGCTGTTCTGAGAATTTCATGGAATGTGCTTGACATAGTCTTCACTGAAGAGTAGCTATTATTATTATTACAGATGGGTAACTGAGGCTTAGAAATGCTAAATGACCCCGCCTCCCATCCAGGAGAACTAGTTGCAGAGCCAGGACTTCAACTCACTGATATGTCTGGGTTTGCGGCAGTCTGCTCTTTCTAATTCACAGGATGGTGAAACATTTCTGTAATTCTGGTTTTAAATTGGCCTATTTACTGGTAGAGGTGACCCGCCTGCTTCAGAAATTATTTCTAGTCCAGAAGATTTCAGGCATAGCAGGCCTTCCCCATGCCTTTCTCACTTCCACCGGAACATTCCCTCTAGTCTCCTTTTCTCCCAGTTTCCCCCGCATACCCTCTTTGGTTTGGGCAGCCGCCAGTTCACGTCTATCCAAGAACTGAAAGAAAGAAAGAAAAGAAAAACAAAAATACTTTGCCATTAGAAAAATATTGCAAAATAATGAGGAAATTATGAAGAAAATATTATTTCAAGAAATGAAACACCAGAGGAAGTAAAACAGGAAAGAGACTAGTTTAATTATAGTAATTAAAAAACCAAACTCTTCTTGGGTAATAGCTAACTGAATTTACCTGAAATACGGGAAATTAAGAGTTCTTTTAAATATAGATTTGTAACTGCTTCCTGTGGTTGCTTTTCCAGAATAATATTTTATGTCTGGGATAAATGCTAGATATATGAGGAGATAGGACTTTGATTTCCCAAACAAGTGCTAAATAATATTACTTAACTTTTAGGCCACACGAAAATAAAACCTATCTTGTTGTTGGAAGTATGAAGACGTTAATGTTGAATGTGTCTTTGTTTAATGCTGGAGATGATGCCTATGAAACCACTCTGCATGTCAAACTACCTACAGGTCTTTACTTCATTAAGATTTTAGACCTGGTAAGTATTGAAAGAAGCCCTGGTGGCACAGTGGTTAAAGCACTCAGCTGCTAACTGAAATATCGGCAGTTCAAATCCCCCCAGCCACTTCTCCAGACTTCTGTAAAGATTTACAGCCTTGGAAACCCTATGGGACAGTTCTACTCTGTCTTATAGGATCACCGTGAGTTGAAACCGATTCAACAGCAATGGATTTGGTTTTTTTGGTTTTGGAGCATTGATAATCATGATACAATAGCATGATACTAAATATTTTACTTATTTTTTAAAAAATGTTTGTGGTATAATTTACTTCAGTATTTGTGGTATAAGAATGATTATTCAGACTTATCATTTAGGTTCCCAGTAATTTTGAGACTTCTTCCATGGCCCTGCTCAGTAGACAGGTATTTTGGAATCCGACTGAGACCAAAAGAGTCAGCTTCCTGCTTCCCCGTGTCAGAAGAGAGAGAAACAATCAGCCAGTTATCCAGGCAGGCAGTTTGGGTGACATTGCCTTTCTCACTGTCACATCCTCATCTGGTGCTGCGATGACGGCCTGTTGGTTGGGATCCTTGGACAAGCAGTATTGGTCCTCTATACTAGGGCTCCCAGAGTTACTGCTCTTAATTTTAAGTTTACATACTCAGACTTGTTCCCAAAGTACCTCCAACATGCCAGAACCAGCAATTCTCCACAAATTTCAAAAAATTGGTGTCAAGCCAGGTTACAGGCCAGTTTCTTTTTTCCTGCAAGAGTCTGAAGCATTTGGAGCCCTTTTCTTACCACCATACTTCAATCATGAGCACTTAAATTCATCAATGAGGTATTAATAAGATTGAATTCCAAAGAGAAAAGACTCAATCGCTTTCAGATCCTTTGATGCTTCTCTATCCCTTAGCAGATTTACCCATCTCTTATCCAGGGACCACATCTTCACACCAAAGACATTTGAGAGAGGCCTTTGACCACTGAAAATATCACCCACTTTCTCTAGAGCTTTGGGAGCCTATTCGCAAAAATAGGAGAAACTCAAGTATTCTAAAAAATTCTAAAAATAAGCAATAAATCTGCTCACCTGTGACTTGCTGACCCATCTAGCAAACACTTGCCAGTATTTTTTAAACAAAAGCATTTTTCTTTACCCATTACACCAATTATGATTACAATCATTGTGATTAAGTATCTTAAGCACATTCTCATACCCCAGGCAGACAGACCCAATGAGATATGGACCTTACGAGAGTCCTTGCCTCATGATTTTTCCAAAATTGGACCTTGGATTAAATAGGGAACACACAAACATGGATGAAAGCTTTAAATCCAGGAATTATTTTGTGGTGAACTTATATGGGTATTAAGAAATACACAATTTATATCTCTATTTATTTATTTCTATCATTTGTTTATATCTCTATTTATCCCAAATGTAAACAGAAGATACTTTTCTAAGAAAATAAATACTTCTGGGATGATTTTCTTTTATTTTCAAAATACCATCCTTAAATATATGTTACAACCTTCTTACTACCTTCCTACCAAAACCAGTTGTTTCATTTTTACTTTTAGGAAGAGAAACAAATAAACTGTGATGTAACAGACAACTCGGGCGTAGTAAAGCTTGACTGCAGTGTTGGTTATATATATGTAGATCGTCTATCAAGGGTAAGCACTTAGCATTTGTAGTTTTTCTTTACTAACATAAATATAAAATGCTTTCTACTTTTCCCTATTGTTATGCTGCATACAAATATATATATATATATATACACATACTTACGTACATAGATATATTTTTTTTTGCTTAGGGTATGTATCTAAAAGATGAAATAAAACAAAAACCAAAATCAACTGGGCTTGAATTCTTTGAGACTGTGTTTATATTCTTGGCAACGTTCACTGTAAAAAAAAAAAAAAAGGGGGGGGGGCACATGTTTATGGTGAGATGGGCATGTGAATGTGTCACTCAGAATACTGCTCCCCCTACTCACCCTTACCCAACACTCCCCACCCCGCCCCAGGTGGTCTTATCTGCCAGGCATGTTACCTCTCTTATACAAAAAGGTGTTTTTTGGCAATGGTCCTCACTCAAGTTGTGAAAGCATTTCTAATTTTGTCAGTCTAGACCTGCCTGCCTGTATAGTCAAAGAAGGCATTGTCTCTGAATTTTACTTGTGCAAATACTTGTACTTTAAAATTGCTACAAATTCAACAGCTTCTTTGCACCTTATTGCCAAGTGAGAGGTTGCTTAGGCCACTAGAACACAATTCTACATTTCAATAGAACAGAAAGTATCAAGAAAAGTTAAAATTAAGTTTACATTATTAAAAAATGAATTTTAGATTATGAAAAAAAGTGGGTTTTTCCTCTTTGTTTTACAGCTCGACATTAGCTTTCTCCTGGATGCAAGCTCACTCAGCCGAGCAGAAGAAGATCTCAACATCACAGTGCATGCTGCCTGGTATATTTTGTTGTGGAAAAAAAATTATTTGTACTATAACAAATGTACCCCCATCATTTTTGGGAGGGCGCACTTGGGGAAACCATGTAGCTGTATTGCATTGTCTGTTGGAGAAAACTTTTATTGCATTATGTGTACACACACACACACACACAAACCCTCTAACCAGCAGAGAAGAAGCAAATGATAACAGTTCAAATAATGAGAGCAAATTTCTGTACAACCCTGTCATAAAAATGATGTTTTTACTACCACATCTACTTTTGTCCCCTCTCCCCCCAAAAATGTTATTTAAACAAACCTCTGAGTATGTTAGGTATACATAGTATGTAATTCGCTTTCTCTGAAGATGATTTGTTATGCTTGATGAAATCTAACAGAGTGTTTTCTGTTTACTTCTGTAGTGAAAATGAAGGGGACGTGGGCACTCTAAAGAATAACAAAGTGACTTTAGCAATACCTCTAAAGTATGAGGTTATGCTGAGCGTTCATGGGTAAGTAGAGTATGAGGCCTATTGTAAAGTTTAGAGCTGATTTTAAGCTCCGTTACTTTTTATATTACTGGTCAAAACATATATATATATATATATATTTGGCTTTAACAAACAGAAATTTATTCTCTCACAGTTTAGGAGGCTAGAAGTCCGAATTCAGGGTGCTGGCTCTAGGGAAGACTTTCTCTTTCTGTTGGCTCTGGAGGAAGGTCCTCCTTGTCTGTTTTGCGCTTCTTCTCCTGGGTGATCTTCCTGTGGCTTGGCCTCTCTCTTCCCCCATCTCTACTGTTCACTTGCTTGTTTAATCTTTTTTATATTTCAAAAGAGATTGATTTAAGACATACCCTACACTAATCCTGACTCATTAACATAACAAAGAAAACCCATTCCCAAATGGGATTATAACCACAGGTATAGCAAACCAACTGCCATTGAGTCGATTCTGACTCATAGTGACCCTATAGGACAGAGTAGAACTGCCCCATAGGTTTTCCAAGGAGTGGCTGGTGGATTCGAACTGCTGACATTTTGATTAACAGCTGAGTTCTTAACCACTGCACCACCAGGGCTTCAACCATAGGTATAGGGGTTAGGATTTACAAAACATAATTTCAGAGGACACAATTCAGTCATAACAACCACCCAGGGGCTCCACTCAAGAAGTAAGGGAGCTGATATTCATTGCACACATGCTTTGGGCTAGTATTTTTTGGAGCATTTTGCATCGTCTGATGCCACTGACCCTCCTCAAGGTAGAGCCTGGGGTCCTGGCCAGAGGCCGAGGCAGAGACGCATCTCAGTGCAGGTGGTCCTACCCACCTGGTGATAAAACATATTTTTAAAAAATTTTGAAGGATATTATACTGTCTGTCTCTTAACAATTATCCCAGTGTTGCCATCCCTTGCTTATATTGTTGTGTGGCGTTGAGTCGATTCCAACTCATAGAGACACTATATGACAAAGTAGAACAACCCCATAGGTTTTCCTAGGCTGTAATCTTTACAGGAGCAGATAGCCAGGTCTTTTTCTTCCTCAGAGCCACTGGGTGGGTTTCAACCACAGATCTTTCAGTTAGCAGTCGAGTGCTTAACCATTGTGCCACCAGGGTTCCTTATCCCTTGCTTAGCTGTTCATTATTTTAATCCACTCTCAAACTAGTACCTAGCTGGAGGGGATTTCTTACCGGAAGGGGCCCAGTGAGCCTCTAGCAGGCCATGTTCAGCCTTTCAGTTATACACTGCACAGCTGCAGAGGCAACCAGAGTTGGGCAGAGCACAGTTTGAATAATCATACCCAGGGGTGGTGGCAAGTGTGAAGTGCTAAGTAGGGTGAGCTTGGCCAAATCACCATTTTCCAGAACCCGTGTCTACTTATGTGCAAACTTACTGAGATATTAAGAGAGCCAACTTTGTACCTATGCTCCCACTTTTGTGCTGCATAAGAGACTACTGAGTTCCTCAACCAAGGCCCAGGAGCCAGCATTCACTGATTCCTCACAATTTTAGTAATTGTGTGAGTGGATCTTCTGACTCAAGAAGTAGATGTGTAGAGAAAGAATGGAAGAAAGACTTAAGAAAATCTTCTGTGATTTCACTGGGAATTATTCAGGCTGTTAGTCTCTGCTTAAAACCACTGTTTTAAAATAATGAAAAATACTAGAGAACAAATAGACAGATGAGCTTTCCCTGTTGCTCTGATATAAACCAACCCCAATCATTTTTAACCACTCAGGAAGATGGCATATGATTATATAGGAATATAATACCAGTGTCTGAAACTGATGAAATTGAGCATCAAGTTTGTGGTATAAAACAAACAAGGAAAAGAAGAGACCTTTTAAGGGAGAGAAGGAGCAAGGGACCTAGAGACTCAGAGGATGAGCAAAAAAAAAAAAAAAACTGATGGTGTGTTTCCTTGTTTTGAATGTTTATTTCTCTATTCCTTAATGATTTTCTTATTCAATTATTTATATCTCATATTCCATATTATCTTGGACAAGGAATGCTCTGCCAACTGTTAAACTGCCTAAGTCTACAATATTTGAATATTTCCAATTTCTGTGCTGTTTAATGGGTTTCTAATTTGGAACCCTGGTGACAAAGTGGTTAAGAGCTTGGCTGCTAACCAAAAGGTCAGCAGTTCAAATCC